ACTTCTATATCCTTCCCTTCAAGGCTCAGGGGTCCAGGATTATCTTCTGTATCTGTGTTAATTGGTTTCACTTTTCTTTGTTGAAGAGGGTCTGTGCAGTCTTTCTGCCTAGTCCGCCATCTCGCCGGAACCGATCTTGGGACGCTTAATGGACTTGAATCAGTGGCCTCTCATGTGGTTTGGTAATACTGGGACTATGCTTTTTCATTGGTCAACCTTGGGTTTGTCAGCCTCAGCAGCCAGCAACTGCCTGAGTGAAGAAAGCCTCCAGCTTTCTGTGGACCCAGGAGCAAGAGGCAGAGCTGAAGCCCAAAGTCGAGTGGCTTTCACTCAGCCCCTAGAATTTAGCACTTTGAACTTGGACTTCTAGCCTCCAAAACGGTAAGAGAATAAACTGTTCGTTTACGTCAACTATCAGTGGCATTTTCTGTTAGAGCAGCACAAAGCAACCAAAACAGCATCAATTTTTTTTTCGGTCTTCCTCATTCACTGTCCAGCTTTCGTGTGCATATGAGGCAATTGAAAATACCATGGCTTCAGCCAGGCGCACCTCAGTCCTCTGAATGACATCTTTATTTTTTAACACTTTGAAGATACCTTCTGTAGCATGTTTACCCAATACAATATGTTGCTTGACTTCTTGACTGTTGCTTTCATGGGTGTTGATTGTGAATCTGAGTCAAGTGAAATCCTTGACAAGTTTAATATTTTCTCCGTTTATCATGATGTTGCTTATTGGTCAGTTGTGAGGATTTTTGTTCTCTTTATGTTGAGGTGTAATCCATGGGAGCTGTGGTGGCATAGTGGCTAAGGCATTTGACTACTAACTGGAAGGCTAAGGGTTCAAACCCACCAGGCTCTCCTCAGAAGGAAGATTGGACAATCTCCTATAGATATACTGCCTCGGAAATCCAAGGAGGAGTCACTGTGAGTGGACTTGACAGCAGTGAGTTTGGTTTTTTTGGTTTGGTAATCCATACTGACCACTGTTGTCTGTGATTTTTATCAGTTCATGCTTCCAGTTCTTTTTGCTTTCACCAAGCCAGTTTGTGACATCTGTGTATGACAGGTTGTAAACAAGTCTTCCTCCAATCTTGACACTATGTTCTTCATAAAATCCAGCTTCTCAGATTATTTGCTCTGCATACGGATTGAATAAGTATAGTGAAAGGATATTACTCAGCCATAAAGAGAAATGAAGTCCTGATACATGCTACGACACGGATGAGTCTTGAAAAAGTTCTGTTGAGCGATATAAGTCAGTTGCAAAAGGATAAATGTCGTATAATTCCACTTACATGAAATAAGCAGATGTATAGAAACCAAAGATTATTAGTGATTTCCAGGGTTGGTTTTTATTAGGATGAGTTAAGGCACTTACTGATGAAGGTTGAAGAATAAAGTCTGCAGTATGGATTACGTCTCAATATAAAGAAAACAAAAATCCTCACAACTGAACCAATGAGCAGCATTGGAGAGAAGATTGAGGTCGTCAAAGAATTCATGTTGCTTGGTTCTACAATCTATGCCAATGGAAGCAGCAGTCAGGACATTAGATGATGTGTAGCATTGGGAAGGTCAACCGCGAAGGAACTGTTTCAAGTGCTGAGGAGCAAGGATGTCTCCTTGAGGACTAAGGTGCGCCTGACACAAGCCATGATATTTCCAATTGCCTCATATGCATGTGAGAGCTGGACAATGAATAAGTAAGACCGAAAAAGAGTTGATGCTTTTGAGTTGTGGTGCTGGCGAAGAATGCTGAAAGTACCATGGACTGCTAAAAGAACTAACAGATCTGTCCTGGAGGAAGTGCAGCCAGAATGCTCCTTGGAAGCGAGAATGGCTAGACTTCGTCTCACCTATTTTGGTCATGTTGTCAGAAGGGACCATTCCCTGGAGAAGAATGTCATGCTTGGTAGGGTAGAAGGTCGATGAAAGAGGGGGTGGCCTTCAGCGAGCTGGACTGACACGATGGCTGTGATGATGGGCTCAAATATAGCAGGGATCATGGAGCTGGCACGAGATAGGGCAGTGTTTCGTTCTGCTGTGCATGGGGTCACTATGAGTCAGAAACAACTCAATGGTACCTAACAACAACAGCAACAAGGGTTGGAAAGGAGAGGGAAAAGGAGAGTTTTTGCTTAGAGAGCATTAGTGGGATGATGTTGTAAAGGATATTGATAAAGATTGCACAACATTAAGAATATAATCATTGTCACTAAATTATACTTGTAGAAAAAAATGTTGATTTTGCAACTCATTTATTTATTTTTATTATTGTGATCTGGGTGAAAGTTTACAGAGCAAATTCACTTTTCCATACGACAGTTCACATACTTTGTCTCATGACATTGGCTACAATTTACCACAATGCAACAGCTCCCTTCCCACTTCCTCCCCGTAGTTACCTCTTCCCTGTGTCCTTCCCTCCATGCACTCCTACCCCTGAGCTATCTCCCTGTGCATACACAGCCCTTCTGTTCTCCCATGATTGTTCTCTCCCAGGAGTGTTTCTGCCTAGTGTAAAAGTTCACCTCAAATGTCTGTCTTTTGTTTGGGTGGACACCACAGGAGTGGGTTCAATTCCAGACCTGAAGGGCAGCTAGGGGCTATAGTCTCAGAGGTTCCATCAGGCTCTATCAGACCAGCAAACCTGGTCCCCCTTTTTTTCCCCCCATATGATTTTGAGTTTTGGTCCACATCATTTTCCCACTCTATCAAGGATCTCCTACATAGATCCTCCTCTGAGTGGTTGACAGTGGTAGCTGGGAACCATCTAGTTCTTCTGGTCTCATAGTCGTATAGGTTGAGGATTGCATGCTGTACCAGTTGCTAGGACTAATTGTTTCCATGAATCTTTGGTTTTCTTCATTCTTCTCTGCTCTGGATGAGGAGAGACCCATTGTTGCACCTGGATGGCTGCTTGCAAGCTTTTAAGACTCCAGTTGCTATTCGAAGTTGGCAGCTCTTTTATTGTACGTATTTTTAACACATCTGCTCTGTAAATTTGCACCCAAACCACAATAAAAAAAGAAAGAAAGAAATCCCTGTGAAGCACAGTTCTACTTTGACATGCGTGGAGTCACCAGGAGTCAGAGTTGACTCCACAGCAACTGGTAATAAGCAGAATGTTACCAAAATTTTTTCTGATCTTTCAAATTAATAAGTAGAATACTTCATGGTCAATTGTTCTTATCTAACTTGCCTTTTTTCAGAAACAGCTGTGATACCTGTTAATGGTTCACCTCGAACACCAAGACGAGGTCAGAATAGGAGTGCACGGATAGCAAAACAACTAGAAAATGATACAAGGATTATTGAAGTTCTCTGCACAGAGCATGAGTGTAATATAGATGAGGTAATCTAACCTAATTGTTTTTTAAATTTAAGAACTGTTAAGTGGATTTAGATGTAAGTTCTACCTTGCAGTATGATGAGCATGTATTTTGTAATTAGTACCAACTCTTGCTAGATATTTAGGAAAAAATTCATTTTCATATTCAGTTACTTTGATTTTAAAAGGAGTAGTTCACTCCCTGTGAAATCACTGAAATATACATTGTTAAAGGAGTAGTTTTCAATGTATTTGATTCCTCTGAGGTTTGAGACCCCTGATATTTCAAAATATTCTCCTAAGAAAACTCTATAGTGTTTTGGTTTAGTGGTAACTGGCACCAACATCAAATTTTGTTCAGCCTTCTATAATTAGTCTCACCTGTTAAATATGATACCAGATGCTAATGGCTGGTAGAACATACACATGAAGGTCCATGTATTGCTTATTGTTCATAGAATCTAGAATATTGAAACTGGTAGGGGTCTTACAAATAATGTACTCAGCCTCTTTTTAGTTATGAGTAAACAGCTTTCAGACACTGGTAGCTCATTAGGAACAGAATCTTGACTAGACTCTGGAACATGTGATTCCAGCACCCCTTTCATTCTACCATGCTGTTTCTCTCATAGATTTTTATATTCTCTACAATTCACTGGACCAGATAACTGTATGAAATGCTGTAGCTGCATCTTTGAAATTTCCATTTAACTCTAGGAATGAATAGGGGTTTGGTCCCAAATCTCATTTAAGAACTATTAGAATGATTAATATACTATCATTCCATTTATAAATAGATAAATATTTATTAGGATATTTGATTTTAACACTACAGTTTTTGTTAATTTCCAAATATACATATACATGTAAGTGTATGTGTGTGTATATATATATATATATATATATATATACATAATTATATATTACTTGAAACCAAACTCATTGCTGTCAAGCTGATTCCAACTCACAGTGCTCCCCATTAGATTTCCAAGGCTATAAATAATTGTGGAAGCAGACTACCTCATGTTTCTTCCATGGAGTGGCTGGTGAGTTCAAACTGCTGGCTTTTTGGTTAAAAGCCAAATGCTTTAACCACTACACCACCAGAGCTACTTATATATGTACATATATACACACACACTTTTTTTAACCATGGGTTAAATGTGGAATATTGAAGCTAATTTTCGGTGAGTTCACTTTACATAAATCCCATTTCATTAATACTTCCCCACTTTGTCTCTATTTTATGACCTGAAATCTGCCTCTTGTTAATTAAAAAATAAATACTTGAGTTAATTATAAATAAGTTCCACACTGCCATGAGTATGTCATTGATCAAAATGTGTCAATTAGCACTATCATTCTACTGTTAATATATGACAGAGATTAATTTTTTTTTAAATTTAATGAACTTTTTCTTTTTCAGGTGAAAAATGTTTACTTCAAAAATTTTATACCTTTTATGAATTCTCTTGGAATTGTAGCTTCTAATGGACTTCCAGAGGTAATCTGAAAGAAAACTTCATTAAAAAATTAATACATTTGGGAACTTTAAGGAGGAAGAAGTCATTATCTAAATTTCTTAAGATCACTTTGCTATATATTCAATATCATCTTGCCCAAAGAAAGGAATCTAGCTGATGTATATTGTTGTTAGTTGCTGTCGAGTCAGTTCCAACTCATGGCAACCCCACGTGTGCAGAATAGAACTTCTCTGTAGGGTTTTGAAGACTATGACATTTTGGAAGCAGATTGCCTTCTGGGTGTGTTTCAGCTGTCAACCTTTTGGCTACTGGACAAGTGCTTGACTGTATATGCCATAGCAACAAAAAATCCTAAAGCTTTTTGAATGTAGAATGTGTAAATAAGCATCATTTTGTAATTTGCATTAGAATTGCTCTGTACAGGTGGTCCTTGGGTTATGAACATCCAACTTATAGACAACTTGTACTTGCCCTATGTTGTTGTTGTTGTCGGTGCTATCAAGTTGGCTCCGACCCATAGTGACCTTGTGTACAACAGAACAAAACAGTGCCCAGTCCTGTACCATCTTCACAAACTCTGCCTTGCCTTGCTTGAGCCCATCATTGCAACCACTGTGTAAATCCATCTCATTGACATCTTCCCCTTTTTCACTGACTCTTTACTTTACCAAGCATGATATGCTTCTCCAGGGAATGGTCCCTTCTGTCAACATAAACAAAGTACATGAGATGACGACTGGCTATTTGTGCTTCTAAGGAGCATTCTTGCTGTACTTCTTGCAAGCCAGATTGTTTGTTCTTCTGACAGTCTGTGGTATTTTCAGTTCTTTACCAACACCACAATTCAAAGGCACCTGTTCTTCCTAGGTCTTCCTTACTCATTGGCTTTCACATGCATATGAGGCGATTGAAAATACCATGACTTGGGTCAGGTGTACCTGTGTCTTAAACGTGATATCTTTGCTCTTTAACACACTAAAGAGGTCTTTTGCAGCAGATTTGCCAAGTGCAATGCATTGTCTGATTTCTTGACTGCTGCTTCCATGGGCATTGACCATTGATCCAAGTAAAATGAAATCTATGACAACTTCAATTTTTTCTCCATTTATTGTGAGGTTGCTTATTGGTCCAATTGTGAAGACTTTTGTTTTCTTTATGTTGGTGTGTAATCCATACTGAGACTATAGTATTTGATCTTCATCACTAAGTGCTTCAAATTCTCTTCACTTTCAGCAAGCAAGGTTGTGTCATCTGCATATCACAGGTTGTTAATGACTCTTCCTCCAATCCTGATGTCATGATGTTCTTCATAGTCCAGCTTCTTGGATTAATTGCTCAGCATACCTTTTGAATAAGTATGGTGATAGGATACAACTCTTACACACACCTTTCCTCATTTAAACCATGCAGTGTCCCTCTTGTTTTGTTCCCACAGCTGCCTCTTGATCTATGTATAGGTTCCCCCTGAGCACAGTTAAGTGTTCTGGAATTTTAATTTTTCACAGTGTTATCCAGAATTGGTTATGACCCATATTGTTGAATACCTTTGCATGGTCAGTAACACACAGGTCATCATCTTTCCGGTCTTCTTTGCTGTCAGCCAAGATTATTCTGACATCAGCAGTGATATCCCTCCTCCTACTCCCTCTTCTGAATCCAACTTTAAATTTCTGACAGTTCCCTCTCATATACTGCTGCAACTATTTTTGAATTATCTGATTTGAATTGGTAGTTAGTTCTTGAATCAGTTTGTGCATTCAACAGATATTTATTGAGTATTTAATATGTGTAAGACATTGTGCTAGATACTATGGATACAGAGATTTAACTCATTGTCACAGTCCTTACTTAAAGCGCTAGTGGGAGAGACAGGCAAGTAAACAGAACAGTACAGGAGGCTGGAAGAGTGTGATAGAAGTATGCACAGTGTGTTGTAATGTCTCACAGGAGAATCATGTAATCCAAACTGGGGCAGTAGGTTTCATAGAAAATTGCTTGGAGACGATAGGATTTCTGAGCTGAGTAGGCGTTATGAGAAATGGCATTTCCAGGGTTGGAAATTACAGGTTCAAAGCTACAGTTGTGTGATAGTGTTGTCTGTTTAGTGAACTCCCAGTAATTCAATAAATTGGTACCCACCTTAATGAGGGAGAGTGGTGGGATACAGGCAAGAAGGGGTCAAATGTTGTGTTAATGAGTCTTGTTACCACCTCATGTACCAAAATATATGCTGTTCACAAAGACTCTCATACATACATAGTAATATTTTACCTCAAAAAGGATTACAATTTTAATAGACATGTTAAAAGAAACTTAACATTTCCCTAATATTTTGCATATAACTCTAATAGCTGTCAGTCAATATATGATTGATAATTAGTGCTTCACTTAGGTAGGGCAGAAAGTCACTGGGTGGTGCACACAGTTAACGTGGAGGTTCGAGCCCACACAAGGCACCTCAGAAGAAAGTCTTGGGAATCTGCTTCCAAAAGAATGCCATTGAAAACCCTGTGGAGCACAGTTCTGCTGAGACGCACATGCAGTTGCCGTGAGTTGTAATTGGTTCGATGGTAACTGGTAACTGGTAAGGTATGGCAAGAACATTGATTAAACTTATTCAAGCTTGAATGGCCATTCTGCTTAATACACTTATGCAGACAAAAAAATTTTACACTTAACTGGATTTCTTCATGTAACTCCTTTTGGAATGCAATGTTAGTTCTCTCAGGTCTGAAACACTTTAGCTTCATACCAAAAGACATGCCAAATAATTGTGTATTGGATGTTCATTTAAAATTATAATTAGAAAATCATGGCTCAGAACTAAGATTTACAAATTCTAGCAATTGAAAAAGTGTCCAAGATTGTGAATAAATCATATTAGTGTGTTAAATGGACTAATTAATGGAGCTAATTCTCTTGGCCCAGATACATAACTGAAGGAAGCTGGAAGGAACCAAAAGGTTTAGGAAAGATTGGCCAAATATATAATCCAGAGAATTTTTTATGTTTCAAAAATGCTTTATTGTATATTGATAAGTATAGTAGAAGTTATTAAAAGTGAGGGGCTATATATGTTGTTTTTTAGCATCTTGACATTTGAATGGTTATAATAATACTTATTTTGATCTTAAATATAATTTTGTAGCTGCAAAAACGGCAAGGAGGCCACATGTTCTGACCTCCTCTAATCCCACAAGAGGAAGACAGAATTACCATCAATAGCCCAAGGCCTATTCCTGCGAGGCCAGACATGCTGCCTCCCTCCAACCCTTTCTCCAACCATTCCTCCCAAAGCACCCACCACCTCTCTCCTGGGTTCGCTAATTCGCTGCAGTGGCCACACAGAGCTCTCATAGCATGAGAACTCTAAGCACGTGTGAGAGAGAGTGGGCACCTCCCAGAACGTTGTTTTGTGCCACTCCCAACAGATGTACTCCAGGTGGACAACTTCAGCAATCAGGAGCTCCTCAGTTGCTCATAGAAAATCCCACCCTGGAGTTTACTAAGACTTATGGGTAGAAAAGCCACACTAAGTAATTTACTATACCACAATAGCATTAGTGATCTTTGTGTATGTAACATTCTAATGAATACATTCATAAAATAGACTTAAAATTGTATTTGAGAAAAAATGTCTACTTTTATACTTTTTTGAAAGCTTTTTATATGCTGCATGTGAACTTAATATATATTGTAATATTAAATGTATAATTATACAAAAATTATTTAATTAAATTTATACTTCTGTGTACCGAGAGCTATAATGACATAAAAAGAGTAATTGTCAGTATTTTTCCTTCTGAGGTTGAAAGTCTCTCTAAACAGTATGAAGAAGTTTACCGTAAAAACAGGGATCTAGATGCAAGATTATTTTTGGATCATGACAAAACTCTTCAGGCTGATACCATAGACAGGTATTGTACATGGTTTATCTTTATTTGTTGATATATTTTTGATAGAGCCAGGTTTTGATATAGATAATTGTCTTTTAACTTAGTGATGTTCAAATATCATTCATAATAAATTACCTTCAAATGCTTTTACAAAAAGCTAGTATTAAGAAAAGATTACTAGTATTCTAAGCATATAATTTATTAATGAATGAGGAATTTGAATTTCTCTCTATAGCAATGATCTTTCCCTCAGTTATCTGAATATGATTTGTAAAATGCAACCAAAGAAAATTCTTTAAAGTAAGTAGTTTACTCAGCACGATTTCAGTTTTTTCTCCACCTTTTTCTCTATTATTGCAGTTTTTTCTCCACCTTTTTCTCTATTATTGCCTGCCACACTTTTTTTTTTTAAGTTGATACAACAGTTTTTTCTCTTGAATTACCATGTTGTTGTTAGGTGCCTTTGAGTTGGTTCTGACTCATAGTGACCCCTTGTACAACAGAATGAAACATTGCCTGGTCCTGTGCCATCCTCACAATTGTTGCTGTGTTTGAGGCCATTTTTGTAGTCACTGTGTCCATCTCATTGAGAGTATTCCTTTTTATCGCTGACCCTCTACTTCACTAAGTATGATGTCCTTCTCCAGGGACTGGTCCCTCCCAATAACATGTCCAAAGTACATGACACAAAGTCTTGCCATCCTCACTCTAAAGAGTATTCTGGATGTTATTATCATGTACAATCCTAAAATAGGAATGGTTGAGAGTAATTTTGAAAAATATTGTAAAGTTAATGAGTAAATAAGTAAAGTTAATTTTATATCTTTACTATGAAATCTTTTAATAGGTAACTGAAAATTAAACACAAGTAAAATGTGACTAATTTTACTTAATTGGCAATAAATATTTTGGAAGGCATAATGCATTAAAAAACTTGAGTTTTGATTTTTTTAACACAGAACAACTTGGTTATTAATAGAATTCTTAAAGATTGGTATGCCTGTTTGTCATAGTTCAGTGAAAAGAAAACCACACTTTAAAAAAATGACAAAAATAAAATTTTATTCATTTGAGTAGCTTTTGGGTCATCTATTTCCTAGCACTTCCATTGTTGGATTACTATTTTATATGGTGTTGTGAGGCAAACAGAAGGTATAACAATGCTTTTTTTTTCACACATAAAGCACAAATTGTAAATTTTCGACATTAATAACTTTGCTGATCACTATTTAGTTTTGAAATGCAGAGGACGCCACGAAAAAGTAACCCTGATGAAGAGATGAATATGATTCCTCCACAGACTCCAGTTAGGTATGATTCTCTTCTGCTTTTGTTTTTCATTATAATTATTTATTCAGTGCTTTAGGTTTGTTCATTTGTTTCATTATATATTCATGCATATATGCAATAAATACATATTGAGTGCCAGGGATTTTATTAGTTGCTGAGGATGCTATTAGACCTAGTTTTATCTGTCCTTCAGGAGCATAACTGTAACCTAGTAATGTCAGAACTCATCTAGATTCCCATGGGACAAGAATCAGGATCAGTGCAAAGCTGGTTGTTATGAAATGGAGGTCAGGCATATCTCCAGTCTCCAACTTCTTCACCATTTCTGATACAAGCTATTTCCCTATGACACTCCTGAATTCTCTTCTGGATTTGATAATTCACTGCAATGGCCTTACAGAATTTACAGACCATACTCACAATTATGTGATTTATTAGGGAAGTTAACAGGGTAAAACTTAAGAGACAGAATGCAGTTTGTCAGTCAGAACAGCTTCCAATCAGGACAGCTCTCTCAGTTGCTCTCTGTGGATGCAAGCAGGCTGCCATTCTCAGTCATGCATGGCTGTGCGTGGCTCTCTGCCTTTGGCTACCACCTGCATGGCTTCTGAGACTCTGCTTTGCTGCTGGAAAACTCCTGCACAGGATCTCTTGAGCCTCTGCCACTGGGCCCTTCTAGACCTAATGATTACAGCTGTCAGCATAACATCTGATGCAGCCAAAGGCAAGCCTGCCCAACCCTCACACTGTTGCTTGCTATGCTAGGGCATTCACTTGCATGGGACTTAGACTACAGCTGCTTCCCCTTTACAGGACATCTAGCTCTGTTGGGGACATAATGTTGGGGCTTTGAACCACTTTCTTCTGGTTAAGTCATGGCCAAGGAAGAGAAACCAAATCAACTAGAATTTTACAAATGATAATAAAAATGGGGAAAATTACAGGTTGAAGCCCTGCTAGAAACTTAATCTCCCTCTTAGAAAACAAGGACAGCATGTGCATTGCATAGCAACCAAATCTCTTGCTTGTCAGATTTTGAACAGAGTTGGAAACAGCAATGTCCTGCTCAAATATGGCACCTGACCACAGTGCTTTGAATGCATGTTGCTCTTCATAGTTTTGCCAATAATCTAATTTTATGTATCAGGTTTCAGAAAGGATTCACTACACTACTCCCCCATTCCAGATCTTTGACCCATAATTTTTCCTGTTCTGGTTATTATTCCAGTTTACTCATATCAAAAAAATTCAGGTCTGTTCCTGTTTCTCTTTGTCAGCCATGACTGAATCACTTTGAACCATTTTGAAGCCCTGCCTCCTGCCGAGAGGTGTGTAGCTCCACCCTTGAGCCAACTTGCCTACCACTGCCTGCTGGTCTTGTGGTTCCTGCTTGTGGTACTGCTGCCACCATTTCTCTGCCACTCAGATCTACTGTGCTCACCACCATTTTTCTACCACTTGGTTTTGCTCTGCTTGCGCCATTTCTATGCCACTTCTCAATGTCTTTAGTGTTACAACTCTGCCTTCTGGGTGTAGGAAGAGAACAGTGCAGGGATTCTGGGTCCTAAGAATATGCACCACACCAGACATTTCTTCATGATAGTGAAGTCTCCCCTCAACTTCTTGCCAATTTCAAGGCATGGCCCTCCCAGTAGGACCATAAACTGACAGTCTCCCCAGGTCACTCAATTTTATTGGGTGGATTTTCCAGCCACTATTTGCATAGGAGATCAATCAATACCTGCAAGGGATTGCAGGGCAGACTAAGGCCCAATCACAGGGCAGACTAAAGCCCAACCAATTATTTTTAGTAGAATTACAAATCTAAGTCTAGAAAGGCCATAATTAATAGAAACCCATTGTTCTGCAATAACCTAGAATGTTACTGTTTTACCTTAGTAAATAGTATCACCATTTACTTTGCAAATATAATGCAAGGATTAGTACCATTTTATAAGTCCTTTTCCCTATGTCCCACATCTAATTTGTTATTGAGTCTTGTTGAATCTACTTCCAACATGTTTCTTGAATGCACTGTTGTGCTCCATTTGTACTATCGCTACCTTTGTCCAAGGCAACTTTCGCTCTTTTTTGGAGTTTTTGTAGTAGCCTATTATCTAATCTTGCTGCTGCTTCTCTCCCCACCACCAAATCCATTCCAGAATAATATTCTGGAAATGTAAATCTGATCATGTTCACCCTGCTATTTAAAACTCTCTGCTTACTATTATAAGTGTAATGTAATGAAAATTTCTTAACAGTGCCCACAACCCCTTATATGATCTGTCTTCTGTTGCCTCACCAGTCACATCTTATTTTCTCTTACTCACTACGTGGTAGCTATATTGGCTTTCTTTAAATTTCTTGAACCCTCCAAACTCTTTTCTACTTGAGGAACTTCGCATTTATTACCATTTCTTGAAACTCTTCCTTCTTTTTTTCCTTCCACGGATTATTAACTGCTGCTCTTCCTTTAGGTTCAACACAAATACTACTTTTTTAAAGTTATTTTTCTTGGAAATACTTTCTTTATTCTTATTCCTCACAGCATTCTGTTCTAGTCTTTCACAGCATGTATCACAATTTATAATTACAAATTTATTTGTATGTTTGCTTGTTTTCACTAGTACTCACAATAATCTTTACATTCAATACCACGTGGAACATGACTTTTTTTTATTAATAATAATTAAATTTTTAAATAATTAGAGCTTAGTATTTGGTGCATACAAGTCAAAATTGACTCCATGGCAATAGATTTTGGGTTTTACTTGATACATAGTAGATAGTATTTTTATTGACTTTATAGACATATAAACAAATATGTTTTTGTATAAATATATGTCTTAGTTTCTTAATGTTATAGTAATAAAAGTACCACAGGTGTCTGCTTTAACAAGCAGAAATTTATTTTGTCACAGTTTAGGAGAATGAAAGTCCAAATTCAGCCATAGGTGAAAGTTCTCTCTGTACTCTCTAGGGGAAGTCTTTATCTTTTCCTAGGTTCTTTGGTGATTTCCACCCGGCATCAGTCTTTCTCCATTCAAGGTGTTTCTGTGCCTTATCTGTTCCTTGAACACAAACCCTACACTGATAGAGCCTCATTAACATAACAAAGAAAACCCTAGTCTGAGGTAGAATTACACCCACATGTGTAGGAATTAAGATTTATAATACATGTTTTTGATGGACACAATTCAGTCCAGAACAGTATGGCAATAGACTTATGGACAAGTTATTAAGATGGCACAGATGAGATGTTATGAAGTGATGTCTGAACTGGATTTTGAAACTGCATAGATTTGTATCATGGGACTGGCATATTAGAGAGTGGGAATGGCGTGTGCAAAGGCGTAAAAGTATGAAACAACATTATGTGTCTGGAGAACTATTAACAGCTTTATATTGATTGGATATAAAGTCAGAAGATGAAATTACAGGAGAGGAAGATAGAGAATACTAAGGTAGAAGGGGCTTTACATGCCATACTTACAAGTTTGGACTTTAGCTTGAGCATAATATACCAAAACCAAACTCACTGCTGTCATGTCGGATCTGCCTCATAGCAACCCCTCCTTGGGTTTCCAAGGCAGTATCACTATGGAAGTAGATTGCCCAACCTTCCTTCTGAGGAGTGGCTGGTGGGTTTGAACCGCCAGCCTTCTGGTTAGCACTCAAATGCCTTAGGCACTGCACCACCAGAGCCCCTGAGCATGATATGTTGTTGTTGTTGTTGTTATTTGCCGTCGAGTAGGCCCCGACTCATAGCGACCCCTCCTTGGGTTTCCGAGGCAGTATCACTACGGAAGTAGGATTGCCCAACCTTCCTTCCGAGGAGTGGCTGGTGGGTTTGAACCGCCAGCCTTCTGAGCTTGTGCTATATTAAGCAGGGCTAAGGAGAAAAATCACTTTATTTTTGAAAGTTTACAAGGTCAAAGTTTGTGAAAGAATAGATTAAGGAAGACAAGATGAGAAATAAGGAGACTTGGTATTCTGTTACAGTGGTTCTTAACCAGTTGCACAAATTAGAATTACGTGAGGAGTTTTTTCTAAGTGTATATGACTAGACCCTTCTACCACAGATAAAGTGATCCAAAATCTTTGGACTGGAGTGCAAAATAGTGAAGTAGGAAGTTCTAGATGTTGGTGACTCCAGCAAAGAACAATTGAACTGGAAAAAACAATTCAAAATAATTATTTTGGAATTTTGGAACTTGGTTAGACACTTAAACCAAACAAGTGAATGGCAGATGAAGGGAATGGCTGCCAGTTTTCTGTAGGTGAACCATGTGTTCCAGTTTGCTAAAATCCCTTCCATTCCTCAGCCCCACTGCAATGGTAAGGTTGGTGGCCTGTATGCACAGACGGGCTGGCTAATGCCAGGAGCAGTCAGTGGGGACCTGGTCCTTCAAAGACTTGGGGCTGCACAGTTTGCATAATTGGGTTGGTCAGACAGTACCCTGAGAGAAGAGTGCAGATGACTGCAGTGGTTTTGATCCTTCTGTAGTAGTGCCATCTATCAGTGGCAGTAGTTTAAAGGGCCAGCTTGCCTTTTTTCCCTTTTTGTAAAATGTATTAGGCCACTGACTGACTATATTGATAACAGAACTAGAATACATACTTGGCAAAATAGCTTGAAAAACATCACTGAACATTTGACTGTGCCCTCCATTAGATAATAACTGCAGTCCTTAAGTAGTGGGAGAATCACATATTTTTTGTATTTTGCTTTTTGTTTTTTCCCCAAATATAGAAAAATTTCTTTGGTAACACTAGGCTGTGCACAGGCTGTGGAACAGAGTCTTTGATGTTCATGAATATCTGGAGGACAGTTTTTATGAAAGTAGTTACAGGAGGTTGACAGCCATCAACAATTTTGGGGGAAAAAAAAAAAGCAATCCCTGGGTAAGTAGAAGAATGAGTTCCAGACTTACAACATTCTAAAATTCAAATGTCCAAGTTTTAGCAACAACAAAATCACAAGGCATACAAAGAAATGGACAAAATGGCCTAGTCCAAAT